ATGAATCCAATCACCGAGAATATTACAAATCCGGCAAACATACTTGTACTGGAGTTAACTGTGCACACAATTAACGCATCCCTGAGATCAAATCATTTGCAATTGTTACACAAATACCATTTCTTAAATCTAAGATGAACCCACTTGTACACATTGTTTGTAAATTTATTGTAACTTCCAAGCGCCACCAAAGTTCCAAGACCCAAACCATACGAAAAGAAAATTTGCGTTACGGCATCGATCCAAACCTTTTAAATTCACTTACTTGTAGGATTTCAGACACATTTTAGACACATTTTGAGTACATACCTCGGAATGAGAAAGTTTCGAAAAGTTGGGAATAATATAAAACTTGATACCCTCGAGGGCACCAGGCAGCGTAATGCCACGAATCAATAAAACTGTTAGTAGAACGTAGGGAAAGAGTGCTGTGAAATAGACGACTTTTCCGGTCCATTTAACTCCTTTCCAGATGCAAAAATAGCAAAGTATCCAAACAAGTAGCAAAGTGCCCGCTAGCTCCCAGCGAATGTTGCCTATTTCATCGATGCCAGAGGATATTTGTAATGCCCGCCGCCTGTAAAAATAAAATTATTATCTTAATATAAATCATATATATTATATAAGAGCTCAGTTTATATATTAATTGACCCATGATATCTGGTATTTACACAAATTAGCCTATCATTGGTTTATATGTTTGCTTTTGATTCTCCCAACTGTGGAGAATTTCTTCTAGAGACTTAACAACAGTTATAATAGTTGTTTAAACTTACTCCCAAAATTCTTTAACTGGATCCGTAAGTTCTGTTGACGAAATATTCGCAGCTGCCACTGAGCAAACCTTGTTTGCCGTTCCATTTATCATTTTATCCCAACAATGCAGATTCTTCCTCTCATACTGATTGACACAGTTGATGGTGTTCCACCAGTTGTTACACGTACGCCAAGGTACATCTGTAATTAAAAAAGGTGACGATATTTACATTGGAATGGCTTAAAAAACTTACCCGCTCGCATTGACATGAAGAAGTAAAACACTGCCCAGGCCAGAATCACAATATAGTAAACATTCATCCAACAAGACATGACGGCAGCAGCATATCCAATTCCTTTCATGAAAATTATGGATAACAACAGTTTGTACACATTTTCAATTATTGCCTGATATACTTACCTTTAAAAATTGGAGCGATTTTGAAGACGCCCAAGCCGCCGATAGTCAACATTTGACCTAGCGCCAGCTCCATAAAAAACATCGGAATACCAGCCAAGAACAGTGTCAAAATATATGGAAGAATAAACGCGCCGCCTCCATTCTTGTAGCACAAGTAGGGAAACCGCCAAACATTTCCTAAGCCGATCGCAAGCCCCACTACAGACAATATAAAATCCAATTTAGAACTCCAACTTCCACGCTCTGGCAGGATGATTTTAGTTAGCTGCAATTAATTTAATAACACATAAAAATGAAATGTATTAATTTTTAATATACTTGGTGCTGGGTTTCGATAGGATATATTAGAAAATAAAATATGTTTTCAGCTTAAAGTTTTTATATGAAATATTAGTTCACAAACGCAATTGGTAAAGTGTAGGACTCGCATCTCATAAAAAAACTGAAAAGCTTGTTTTGGTTCAAGTTCAGATCCTGTTCTGTTTCAGTTTAGGCAAACTTTTTGCTAGATTTTGACAATGTGCTTCAGATGCTTAACGTGCTTTAAATAGATGCATAAAATAAACAAACTTCTTAAAAAAAATCAATTTACTAGCTTGATTTCGTATCTGAAAATCGCTAATCTGAAATTTCTTAAAATCTGAGTCAAATCTTTCGTATGGTTTTCGCAGAGTAAGTTTATTTAATTTTGTTGATAAATCCCACACAAGTAGCAGAAAACCTCTTATTTAAATATCATAATTGTGCCCTGAATATGACATAATGAGCAGACAATGAGCTCAGAATGTTATAAAGAAATTATTTTTCCATGTACAAGGCTCAGGGAAAAATCATTGCGTTTGCTCTCTAATGTGCGCAGCTGGTGGCCTTTGCCTTTGTGTGGCATGTGTTCTGTGTAGCTGATGTTACGCGGCGTTGCCCGTTCGAGGTTTTATAAAAATCTTTGCATTTTTGGCATTAACAAATCTAACACACTCAGAGTTAAGATTTATGTTTGATTCAGTTTGGACTGAGCATTGATCATCAATGTGAATCAAATTTTCAAAACACTCGAACATTTTTTGAACCTAATCAGATTATTCAAATAATTACCCTTTACCATATACTATATTTAAGTTTTTTTTTCAGCAATCCTTACCTGATGGCTTGTGGATGTAGCTGTTGTGTCCGATGCTGGTTGTCCTGATATGGGTAAGTCTTTTGGGCACAATAGCTTGCCCATTTCGATGGGATCGTGCTTTTGTCGTTCTCCTCCGTCCCCATCGTTCCCACAATTACTGGACATTTCTTCAACTTTCTTTCCTCTATTTGTACTTCGATGCGTGCTTTACTATTATCCTATGTTTACTAACTTAGACCTGGGAACACATGTCGGAAATAGATCAATAAATATTATCGCGTATAATAATAAACTGTTAACTCGGAATAATAAGTTGTAAATTCATAAACACAATTTTTTTTAAGTGGAATATAAGTTTTATAATATATATTTTTAAGTCAATCCCAACATTGAAAAGCTTGAAAAAGGATATTGTCATTCAATTTTCCCTCTCAAATATATGGTTCATAAATGTGTCTGATGCACTAATAGATTTTGTACTATATATATTTATTTATTACATAAGCTTCACAGTAAAACGAATGTTATTTTCACGCACCCACGACACCCAAACGGGTCACTTGCTAACTTCCAACTGAATCTCTCTCGATCTCTGAGCTTAGGCCATTGGAAGCATTCATGAACAAAGGCCCAGTTTATGCCTATTAAAGCAGATATGCCAGCAATTTAAACGGTGCTTATGCGAAGGCAGGCTGCCTGTCATTTTTACATACAATTTAATTTAATAATGATTTACTGAGAGGGTTCTGACCGCGGCCAATGGCTACCAAACATAGAAAACGCGGGCCGCACATCTACACACGATATCAGAACGATCCCAATTGCGCCCACCCTATCCAACTAACTAACACTCTGATCACTCGCTTACACTTCATATGAAATTTACATATGTACATGCCGAGAGGGTAACAAAAACCATTTCTGTTTGTTATTCTTTAAAATTGAAAATGTTTCATATAACGTTAAATATTGTATTGCCATGTAGAGAATGAAATCGACAGACATACATTTGTATACATATTACTAAAAACAATGCTAAAAACACAATATGAACTTTTTTTCTATATAGAAAAGTCATGTCTATTCAAAATACATGATGGTCCTTAGTCAATTTACTGCGACTATTTTGAAATAGCCTTTATCTTCTGGGTGGTAAATAAGTTTTAAATATTTTAATTATCTGTACACAAATTGAGGCAAGAGTTGAAAAAATATTTAAGCTGATTCATTTGATTGCTCAAGTTCATTGGGCCTGCTTTATGTAAATCTTGTATGTATCATCAAATTGCATATATTAAAATTAACTAGACTATTCCTAAGAAATTCCAATTTTAGCCTTATATTCAGACCAATTTTTCTGCATATATTTAAAGAAAATCTACAATGCATATGTAGACTTTACAGGGCTTTGGGAAAATTTAATTTTTCCGACTCCGACCGCTGTGGATTTTATGGTATTCTCTTCTCAAAATTATATATTATATAGTTCTCAATAAAACTCAAAATTAAGTAAGTTTTGAGCTGAACCTGTGCATTAAATTATACTTATTATAATATATGTCTATCGTTTAATCTTTGTGTCTATCTGTGTGTGCAACCCATAAATTTTCATGTTTTTAGAGCAAATTCTTTTTACAATACGGACATTTGATTTATTCAAAATTTAGCTACTGCCCCCACAACACAAACACATCTCGTTTTAGCTGCACATGTTCGGTCGGAAATCGGTCATCAAATATATATTTTTATACCCTTGCAAAGGCTATCAGATTCTGGTACTTTATCATGAATGAGATCGTAACTCTCAGAAACTCTCAATAATATTATGTACAAAGGGTAGTTCAACTTAAAAGACAAAACTCTAACCATTTCGGTTGCTAAGTCAACATTCCTTTATATATAACCTAATTGTATTGAATGGGGGCACCACGCGTATTGCTCTGAACGCATTACTTCAACATAAATAGATAAATTTATTTAATCGTATGCCTACGAACGTTGTTTTATGACATACATACAAATTCAATTGCTAAGTGCCAGAATATCAACATGTGTGCTCGGAAATGCATAATATTGTTGCTAACAGGCTCACTTCCGAATTTCATTAAACACTTACAACTAAATATTAAATATAAAAAAAAACTGCTGCGGCTAAGGGTTCTCAACTGGTTCATACCCTGTAACCAGTTGATCTCTATATAATAAACGATTTGTCTTAACTGACTGCCGAGTTGACCGACTGACTGAATGACTGACTAACTGACTGAGCGATTGAATGACTAACTGATTAGCTGACTGAGTGACTGACTGACTGACTGACGAACTACCTAACTGTTGGACTATATGACTGACTGACTGAATGAATGATAGACTGACTAATTGACTGACTGTCTGACTAAATAACTGATTGACTGACTGACTGACTAAGTAACTTACTGACTAACTGATTAACTGACTCACTGACTCATAGACTTATCAATTGTGTCTCTCTCTCAATCAATTACTTTCCGTTTTTCCGTTTGGGGGTGTCAAATTATGGAGCTTCATATCACTTAATACAGATTTTTTAGTTTAGCTTATTCCCGACTTTATATTTTTATATTGTGATGCGATCATCGTTTAATTTTGGAAACTGCTTTGGCACTGGAATCATTAGACATTCCGAATGCATGATGCACATGTTTCCTTTAGTTAGGCATGTGATTTGAGAATTTGATAAATATTTACGTTATTTATTGCTGAGCACAATATCTTTAACAAACTTGAATATATTCTGTTATATATAAGATAATTTAATTCACTTTCAATGAAGTCCTCACTGGTTGGTGGTAGTTTGTTTGTGTCTGATGCCCTCCAAATTAGTAGCCTCGACGCGAATGTCGGTGGGCGTCGGTAGACTCCGCTCGATTTCGCTAAAGGAGACTGGAGGTGAGACAAACTTCATGTCCAGGGTGCCACCGCTTAGAGGATCATCGACAGTTTTAAAAATACTTCGCAGTACGGTATCTATGCTCTTAATCTTGGACTGACCTTTGTTTTCCTTCTCGGATATGCTGGGCTCGGGCAGCTGAGTTTCTGGTGGTCTACTGCTCAGTTTAGAGTGCTGCGCGTATATTTTGTAAGGGTCCACATTGTAAGATTTGCCGTGCTTAGCGTAGAGTCGGATTGTTTTCTCACGCAATTTCTGGCGTTGGGCGAGTGCAGACACGGTTACCTCAATGGCCACAAGGGCAATGTGACACTGACTGTGCTGCAGGTGGAAGCCGTCCGTCTGGCAGCTACAGATGATTGCCTTGACCACCTCATTGCTGTCCACTCTGCATCCGAGTACCGCACTCAGATCGGCGGCAATTTTGGGAATGTTTTGGGGCAGAAACACGGCGCGCGCCAAAGGTGTCAGCAGTATCTTGTCACGTGGATCATAAAAATTGGCCAGCTGGGAGCACAATTTGCTGGCGGCCAACAGGCCAGCCTGCTTCAGAGTTAGGTAAAGCTTCTTGTCCTGCAGATGCGGATTAACGTTGATCGGGCTCTTAAAGGTGTAGGTGTATATGAAGACGCTTGTGTTCCCGCTGAAGATGAGACGCCACATCTGCGCCGTGCCGCTCTGCTTGATGTGCCGCATTTTGGGCCCAAGCTCGAAGAGTACTTTGTTGGCAAAGTCCAAGCTCTGCGATGTGGCCGCTTGATCCGACTGATTGAAGTCGGAACAAATCTCGCTAAAAGTCTTACATAGTTTGTTGAAGTCGAAGCCGCCAGCCATTATCTTACTGCGCACTGAAATACGAGAGGGTAAAAACAACAATATTCATAAGTATATTAATATAAACATGCGCATATATATGCATGCCATATTTTTGTTTACTGAAAATAAAATCGATCTCTCACTTCTCGTATCCAATGCTCGACTATTTCTTTTCGCTCGATCGCTTGGTTCAAATATGCTGCGCCGCTCAGAAAGACAAGGAAAGCAATTTGTATTGGAGCTCAGCTATATTTTATACCAAGCCAGTTTTTGTCGCAAACATTATTAAATCACTTAAGAGATAAATTCAATAGAGCAGTCAACCTTTGATATCATTCTTCTATATGCGTCCTATGCGTGCCATAGGAGGAGTAAACTATGCAAATTCTAAAGCCAATTTGAATAAAGACAGACGAGCTGCTAGGAAATATATATATACTTTCTACTTGATCAAGGGAAGAACTAGCACAGTAGTTAAATATATCTTCAATTAATTGCAACATTAAACAAGTTAGCCACACAAAAAGTGGACACTTTTCTTGTCGTAAAACAAATGTGGCTTTGGTTGTTTTATTGGTTTATTTGTTAAGTGCCAGCAATTTGGTAGCCGAATAACTTTTTGTTTTTAGATATTGCTTGAGAGACGCCAATTAGTGTAAATATTATAAATTATAATTCCTTTTGTCATTCCAACGGCAGGGCAGCTTCAATTTCTCTTTCTAGCAGGTACAATCCGTGCATAGCTAGAATTGGAGGTGCCCTCCAGACTGGAAGAAAGGGGCGTGCTGTGTTTTTCACGTTGCGATTTGAGCAATAGCATGACTCCATCGGCGATTTCATCCAAGCTTACAGGTCGATTGTAAGACAACATAACGGCCGATATAATTGGCAACAATATGACATTATAGTCCGGCTCCATTGCACGTTTGAGTCTAGTATAATTTGAGCACCTGTATGTATAAGAAATGCACAGTTTGATGTTGATTTAGTAATAATTTCTCAAAATTTATATGTTCAATACGATATATTCCATAACAATCAAAAAGGTCGGGCTGACAGCTAACCCCCGGCTAGCTCCAATATATAGCATAACCCGGACCACATACACAGCCATAACTCAATCGTGAGCACTTGCCTGGTCACCGGTTGTTGAATTTCCGTCGCCTCCCGTTTCGTTTGGGGGCCAATGAAAAATTCAATTTGAAAAAGTGTCACTTGTCAGCTGGCGATATACCCTGCTCTGCTCTGCCCTGCTCTGCTCTGCTCTGCTCTGCTCTGCTCTGCATTTTGCATTGTGTTATGCCCTTTGTTGTCGTTGCTATTTCGCTTTTCTACTCGGCTGTGCTGTTTTTTCTCTCCGCCTTTGACATTGCGATATATCAATACTACGGATATGCGACAAGCATTTCATATGCAAATTGATAACAACTCTGGGCCCGGCGAGTCAATAACAAAAATGCCACCCACGCATATGCAAATGGCTTCACTAGCAGCCACTTTGAGTCATTTCTGAGCCGACCCAACGGACATCAAATCCTTAACTATTTCCATTCAATCTGCTTACTTATATACTAAATGGTATGGCCTTAAGCTCTGCATATTTAATCGCATCAGTTTATTTCAGTTTAGGAAAACATTCCTAGATTTTGACTTTTGTCTAGAGTTAAGCTTTAACTTGTTTTTTGTTTATTTCGCTTTCCACACATCTTGTGTTTATAGCTTTGAAATTCTGCGGAATATGCAGAAAGAAAAAAGCAAACGCTAAAAATCAACTCTTATCGATTTTGGGTATGTGTGGAGCCAGGCCTGAACATAAATGAGAATTTAGCCTTGTCATATCACACACTGTAAAGTTTGACAACAATCTTGAAACCGGATTAACCATTCTATTCCCTTGCCTAATTCTAGAGTTATTCTGAATACTATCTATTTTAACAACAAACATAATTTTAATCACTCTTTAAAAGCTAAAACAATACTTTTCTATCTTTAAAATATTGCCGAAAAATTATTCTGCTATCATTTTTTCTAATGTTTTAAGTTTAAGCACTTCTTTTGTTTCTTAAAAATCTTCAAATATATATGTATATGTAAAAACTAAAACCCAATTAACATTTCAAAAAAATATATATATATATGTATATATATATAAAACTGACTGATGGACTGTAAATTAATGCGCGAATTAAATTCACCCTTTTGGGTGAGATAAAAGTGAGCAATCTTGGGCAAGATATGAGTTTGCACTCGGAGCTTTAAGTTTGCTTGATTGTTCGCCATTTCGACTTAGAGGGCAGAGCTTATTGTAAGATTTAAGTTTGTTGTTTGTGGTTTTGTATGGTTTAAGCTTTTCTTCGAGTTTTGTTGCTGTGGCGACGACAAAGCCCCTCAGAGATTATGGTGTGTCTAGTCAGGAGGAAGTGGAATTGGTTAGACCCTTTTGCGGTCACTGCGTCGCTTGGCAAAGTTTTGCGCTCTAGTATGTGCCGGCGCTGAAAAGCCTTTAAGTTGCGCAGGATATCATAAAGAATATCTAAAAAGCATCCAAAGAAAACAAAATGCATATTTGATAAACGGCAAGGGACCGAACAAAATTTTAAACAAGAAGTTTCTAAGTTTCCTCTGCCCAAGGCATTTAGAAAAGAAAACCATGAAAATGATTACAAATGATATTTCGGCATCTTAGCGTTCAGTATATTAATGGAATGTCGCTTTTACATTTATAAGTAGAAATTATTTAAAACGTTTATTTACAAAACATTTAAGAATTAAAAACACTTTTCATACGATATAAAGAATTTTGATGTTAAGTAACAGATTATTATTTCAAAAAAGGCGCGCATGATCGATTACTTACTTATCGGAAACAGAAGCAATGCAGTTCTTAATAGTGCTGGTAAACGTATCAAAAACTTATAAGAATTATGTAGCATTGTTAAGAAATGATATCTTTGAAATATCGACTAATCGATAAGATATGATCACCCCTGGGTAAAAATAAGCGGCAAACAAGCATCAAAACATAATCAAAACACACAAACATTGATGCGTCAATTAATATTTGTGAAAAATGGAATCCATAAACTTCAATGACTTTTCCGTTAAGGAGCGTCATGAGATAATCACAGCGTTCCTGATTAAAATGCGTAAGGCCAATTCGATGCACAGTGCGCATAGCTTCTTCCAGTATTATCTAAAACAATTTTACAAGATGCCATCAAAGCTGCTCGACGACATTATCTATTGCCAGCGCGCTTTGAAAAATTATCTGGCTGTCCATCAGGTATGTACTGCATATTGTTAACTGGGCTTTCATTAATTAACGCTCTTACCGACTCTTGCAGACAATCACAAATGTTTTTGCCGACCAACCAGATGCAGTAAGTTATTGCCACCGTCTATCAGTTATTTGGTTTAATTTCTTTCTGTATTGTACATGCTCAGGACCCGGAGACCAAGAACAACTATCTGCTCGAGATAGAAGAGGTGCTTCACGAAATCAATGCAGAGTGTAAATATTTGCTGATTCGGCTGGAAGAGGACATTGACCTCTTTTGCTTACCCTTTACGGAACAACAGCTGCAACCCAATGGCAATTTGATCAATGAAATGGTCAGCGAAGCCGTGGTTCCTCTCGTCTGTAGCAGCCTTTTGCCATTTAAGCCCCATTCGGTGGCAGAGCGTCCCACAGAAAGTCAGTTGCTACGCAAGTACTTTACCGTCAGCACAGAGCCAAAGACAAAAGCTACGTTAAGGACCAAAGACGAAAACCCTAAACCCATCAAATCGGCGGCACCAAAAAAGAAACCAATTCCGGACGCAGACGCTGCTGTGACTAAAGCGCCCGCCAAACAAGCCACAAAGCCTGCTGCGCCAGCCTCTGAGGCTGCCAGCAAGACCGATGCGGTAAATGCCAGTCGCCTTCATTTGCAGGCGGCGCTGAAGCGAGCCCGACTTAACAAGCAGGTAAACTGCGATGCCAAACCGGCAAGTCCAAAGGAGACGTTCTTGCAATCCTTCGGCCTCTGCACACAGCTGGAGCACAAGCGCATGCTTTTGTCCCAGGCGCTGAATCAAAAACGAAACCCAAGGCTTACAAAAAATTAGATGCCGATCACACAATAACAATGTGGATGTGGTGCTCGTGTATCATACGTATGCTTAAGTTCCTATAGGTCAATATAGTATGAAATCCAATTATTAAGTTTTATGGAGTTGAAGTTAAGCCGCCAACAATCTCTGCATGGAAAACTGCAGTCTAATATGTTTAATAGCTATACGAAAGAGAAAACCTTTTAAAACTTGACCCAAGCCATAGTTTTGCTTTAAATATTATAGTTAAGCCTGCCTTTACGAATATTTTTATATAATATCTAGATTAGTTGTATAAAAAAGGCTATGCATGTGGCCAAAACTTATTGTTTAAATAAAGAACATGTGAATCAATCACATAAAAATAACTAACAAATACAATTTAGTCTGCAACGTGCGAAGTTAAGTTCGATACCTAAATGCTAACCGGAAGTTTCTTGAAATGCACAGTTGTACATTAAAAAGTCGGGAGAACAGAGCTTTTTAGTTGACAAAGACCAACACACGGGGGAAACAAAACAACGTTAAGGGACAATAGCGCCTAATAGCCCGTTGATGGTGTTGCTTTAGGTGCCGGAACCGTGGAACGTACGGGCGACGGTGTCGCTCATTTATCATTTACACACCAACGCACGTTGGCACAGATGAACAATACGAGAGATACACAGTCGAGAGCTGCGGGTTTTTTATTGTAGACCCAAAGAGAAATGCTGTTCCCATTTAATGTAAGAGAATAGAGTTCGAGGGAAGAGGGGAGGGTCCCAATCTGATAGAGCTCGTGCCGCCAACGCCCTTTACATTTGCATTGATGTAATCAGCTTGCGGCCGGGTCGTCAAATTGCTCGAAAAAATACCAAGCAACATTCCGCTGAATTGCTGTGCGGCCATTTTTACAACCCCCTCGCCCACTCTGTCCATCAAACAACCATCGTCCCTTTTATATTGCGTTACAAATTGTCTGTTTGCGTTCGCAACCCTTTTAATTTTGTGGCAGGTAAAATCCGTATCCGTAAATGGTAATCCAATAGAATAGATTGAGCTGAATTTTGTTGTGAAATTGGCCACGCACCAGTAGTCATAGATAATTAATGACAAGCATAAAATTAAAACTTAAGCAATATACAAGATCTAATTGTGTTGAAAGGTAACGTACCTAATCGTTTATTTTCAAATACCGATAACCGATACCGATAACTGGCAAAGTTTGTGCGCGCTTGGCGCCAGGGTTGGGTAAGCGCCGAATCTTATCTGTTATTGAATAACCGAAACAGCTGTGGCCAGGACTTTGTCGACCAGACTACGGACTATAATGGTTATTTCATATCGAGGCACATTAATTAGACAAATTCTGCGACGTTGTCACCGCGCAGGTATGTATTGTTTTCCCAGTTATAACCAAATGAATTGTGATTACACGTATCAAAGTGAAAAACGCTGTCGCATTATTATGAAAACTGCAAAGGCTTTTTTGCTTCAACGTAGTCGCAGCAAGTAAGAACAGCAACAGCTTGACTTGTTTCCATGGGGTCTGGCCGCCAACGGAGCGAAGAGACTTTGAGCAGCACATGCGTATTGTGCCGGACTTCATCAGCGAGGCAGAGGAGAAACAGCTGCATGAGGAAATCGAACCGTATATGAGCCGGCTACGCTACGAGTTTGACCACTGGGACGATGTGAGTACAGGGCATGCAGCCTTTAGCTGATTCAAGCATAACTGAGTCTCTTGCAGGCCATACATGGCTTTAGGGAGACTGAGCGCAAAAAATGGTATCCAAAGAACCGGGAGCTCCTGGAGCGTGTGCGTCAGGTGGCCTTCAATGGCGAAATTATGCCCTACGTGCACATTCTGGATCTGGCGCCTGACGGCGTCATCAAGCCCCATGTAGACAGCACCCGCGTGAGTCTGTCGAGCCCAGAGTTTAATTCTTGTCAAATAACTGATGCTTACCTGCTTCCACAGTACTGCGG